GGGTGAGGTTGGGGTATGTTTATTTAAATAAATTAAAAAAAAAATCAAAGGGAAAATAGTCTTTTTTGGTAAGACAAGGACCAAACACGTAACAAAAACACACATTCGGGACCTTCCGAGTTAAAAAAATAAGTTAGGGACCAAACACGCAAATTACCCAAAACCATAGGGACCATTCGTGTAATTTACTCTATTACTTATTAAACATGATATTGTAATTAATATTTTTGAATTTTGAGATGGACTACCTATATAGATGTTTGTCGTGGATCTATTGGATTTGAAAAGAAATCTTTATACCTTAAACAATTTTATATACAAAAAGAGAAATCTTTCTACCTTAAACTATTTATAAATAATTTTACAAATAAAAAATTCATTTTAAATTGCTAAGTGTTAATATCTGAATTGAAAACAATAACATCAAATATGAAATGATTATGTATAAAGTGAGAATATATAAATAGATATTCATGATTTCAATGCTTAAAGCATCATCATTCCCTTCATCTTCACCCTTAAAAAAATGTTTTTAATAAAAAAAATCATTTAAACGTATTTATATGTACTATTAACAATAGGGAAAAACTCATAAAAACCCTAGGGTGCGTTTAGTTGTGGAAAAATGAACCGTTTTCCTGAAAAAAATTTCCAAGAAAAATGAGAATTTTGAAAACGCGTTTAGTTCGTCTATTTTTCTAAATTCTTCACGGAAAATGAAAACTTTCCGTTTTCTAAAATTACCAAGAAGTTGGAAAATTTTGGAAAACTGATAATCATTGTTTTCCATATTTTTCTAATTCCAAAATTTTTCTATAAACACACACCCACTCCACCCCATCCACCTCTATCTACCCCCCACATACACCAACCCACACACACATACACACACACCCACCCACAAACACACACACACACATACATACATACCCACACACACACACCCCAACCCGCACACACACACACACACACTAACCCACACATGAAAAGACCCAAAAACACGACCCAAAAATTTTCGTTTTTCCATATAATCAAAACCATAATATAAGTATCATAACATAAACACACGCGATGTATCCCCAAAACATAATAAAATATTGTGCGGAAAACTGTATCATACTACATCAATCCAAAACATCAAGAGACATCCCCAGGATAAAAGCTATGTTGCGGTGTGTGCGATGCTGTCACCCCGAGTTCTTCCCTTTGCTTGCGGAAGTACCTGAAACCAAAACTGAAACTATAAGCACGAAGCTTAGTGAGCTCCCCCAAACTACCACATACTATACAATAACACATAAACACATATTGGGCCTTGCCCACTGCATCAGGCCGAAGCCCGGAACTGCATCGGACCGAAGTCCGGAACTGCATCGGACCGAAGTCCGGAACTAACTGCATTGGACCGAAGTCCGGAACTTACTGGGACCTTGTCCCCTGCATCGGACCGAAGTCCGGAACTAACTGCATCGGACCGAAGTCCGGAACTGACTGTCTGAACATGGCATAGCACAACACATCAACTAGCGTAACACATATACGACATGCTACATCGAGCCGTGGCCCGGAACACATAATACTTAACACATAAAACATAGCACACAAATCCTGTTCGAACCACGAAGGCATCGAACATACTAACTACTGCATCGGACCTAAATCCGGAAACTACTGCTAACTGAACGGGCCGGCATTGTGGCCTTAGACCCGTTCCTACTGGAAGGAAACTCACCTCGTAAGCTGGCTGCTGAGTGTGTGGCTCGGAAAGCTAACGGCGGCTGCTCCTGAATCTCCTCGGCTACAAGTCCATAAACACACTCGATCAAATACTAAACACTGCGCTTGGGGTAAAATGACTCTTTTACCCTTGGTCAAAGTCAACTCTCCTTTGGGCTGACTCGCCGAGTTGGGCCACCCAACTCGCCGAGTCCTACTCTCACTTTTCACTTTTACTCACTGCTACTCGTCGAGTCTGGCATCGACTCGACGAGTACCCTCTTGATCCAAGAACTCAGACAATCTTCATCCGACTCGCCGAGTCGTATGAACAGACTCGACGAGTTGTTCTTGATCCCAAGAAGATTGCCTTGGACTCGCCGAGTTGATGAACAACTCGCCGAGTCCCTCCATCACTGAGTTCACCCTCAACTCGCTGAGTCCACTCTCTAACTCACCTTGTCCACTCGACACTGATAAAACTGAAGAACTCGGGACTCGCGACCCAACTCGTCGAGTCATTCTTCCGACTCGTCGAGTTGCCGCCATGCAACAGATTTTTACTCGATTTTGTTTGAATCCAATGCATACAATTGATAGATCTGAGTCCAATAAGCTGGTTTACCACGTAAAGTTTCCAACTTTACGTGCACAACCTCATGAATAAGGGAAATAAGGCTAAAAGATGCATAAAATGGGTAGATCTATGGTTATCATGCAATATAACTCCAAAAAGACAGTAGATCTGGGCTCTACAACACCCCAACATTCAGATCCATAGATATTCCGACTTAATAAGACGTTCATGCAAGTGTAAGGCTTGGAACAAGCATCAACTAGCTCTTAGGATAGCTCTAATGGAAGTTTAAAGCATATAACAAGATGGAACTCCGAAAATACCTCAATTAACTCTGATTTGGCCTTGGATCTTTGCACTACAACACTTCTCCTTGCTTCTTCCTTCTTCTCCTTCTTCACACCTTCACAAAATGGCACCAAAACACATATAAGTTCTTCAAGGGAGGTTTAAGGCTCTATCACTGCGTTCTCAGGGTGAGGGAGGCGAGAATGGGGGCTATAAGGTGGTATAAATAGTGGGCAACCCGGGGAATTTAGGGTTTCACCTAGACAGATGGACTCGCCGAGTCAGGGATATGGACTCGCCGAGTCCCCGGCTCCCGCGTGCCCTCAGGCGCGACCCTACTCGGCGAGTCAAGCTAGAACTCGCTGAGTCCCTCTTGAAAAACTCACTACTAATAAATCAACATACCGGGAACGGGTCGTTACAACACACATACACATACATACCCACCCACACACACCCACCCACAAACACACACACCCACCCCCCCCACACACACACACACACCCGCACACACACACACACACACACACCAACCTCCCCCACACACACACCCACCCACAAACACACACACACACATACACATACATACCCATCCACACACACACACACACCCACAAACACACACACACCCCCACACACACCCACCCGCACACACACATACCAACCCACAAACACACACACATACATACCCACCCATACACACACACACCAACCCACACACATACATACTCACCCACAAACACACACACACACATACATACATACATACCCCCACAAACACACACACTCGCACCCCCAACCACCCAACACCATCAACGACAATCACCATCCTACCATCACCACCACCACCACTAACCCATCACTAGCACCACCACCACCGTTGCTGCCTGTCATCACCACCACTGACACAATTGCCGCCGCCACCACCATCGCCTGTCATCACCACCACCGCCGCCGACCCACTACCGTCACCGCCCCACCCACACCTTACCACCGCTACCGTTTTTTAAAAATGAAAACAGATAGAAAAATACACATCTAAACACGTTTTCTAATTTTCTAAAACTGAAAATGAAAACTGAATAAGTTTAACTAAACACGTTTTCTAAATTTTTCAATGAAAAATGAAAACGGAAAACGAAAATCGAAAAGGAAAAATAAAAAACGAAAAATGAAAACTGTTTTTCCGTAACTAAACGCAACCCTATCTATTATACCTAGTTCGTTCCCCACAACTTCCCATGCCCATATATTCTCGCGTAACGACTTATTAGATAAAATCAAAACTACATTGAAGATGCAACAACATAATATTGTCATGTTTTATGTTCAAATTTTGACATAGTTACTAAATGGAACTCAACATTTTTATATATTTTAAATATTTTGTAGAAAAACGGATAAATTAAAAGCAATAGTGAGATTTGGCTCATGGAATTCGGCAACATATGAGGGTTTGGGCTTGAACAGAGGTGGATTTTCCTTATTTCTCGATTGTGGCATACACGTTTCAATAGACTGATTTTATGTCAATGGTCCATTTCAAACATCAACTTAATCGATCCAAATAAAAGGTTGTTACAAAAACACGTAATACAAAGGGGACAAAAACATGGAGTCCACATAAATCCATTTGTCAACAAGATTCGACATCGTAGGCACTTCATCCAAACCCAAATGCCAACCCAAGATGTTCAACTTTATTGGAACAAAATTATTCCATCGACTTTGCACAACGTGACCCCCCAAAGTACCATTATTTTAGTGACTTTTTACATGTATTTACGTGTGTTGCTGATTTCTTAGAACTAGTGATCGATCACAAACCAATTTTGATCTTATGAAATTAGGAAATTATATGGGATAAAACTTTGTTATGTGTATGTGTAATGATGATATTTAAAGTATTATTAAAAAACAGAAACGAAACTAAACCCAACCAACAAAGGCTAATGACCTTTGAGCCCTACGAATCACATCATATTTGGATAACAATTTTTTATCCAACGTAAAAGAGATAGAAAACAGAAGTTGAGTTCAAGCTGTAAAGTATTCTATTTATTTCATCTTTCATATGCTGTAAAGTGAAATTAGACCCCTACAAATCGCATCATATTTGTCCCCCATGCTTTTCACTTTTCACAATAATCTTTTGCACACCGGTTTTTTCCATTCAAAAAGTTACATATCATCAACACACTTTTCGTATAGATTTATACAAGGGATTTTTGCTTTTCCATCTTTCTTTAACTTCAACAAGACACAATGCCTAGGGATACAACACTCATTTTATCGTCATACTTTAAGAAGGATTCCTTTCAATTTTATTTTTAGAAAACTCTGCTCAAAGACATCAAG